TAAAGAGAAAGGAAAAAATGAAATCGCATCATATGACCCCTTTAAACAATACAGTAGAGACACAGTATTGCCAGTTACTGTAGCATGTCTATTTTTGATTCACCAGAAAAAAAAAATGGTTCCAAGCAAAGTCAATCTATTCCACATCTAAGAGTTCACATAGTAGTACCAATCCCAAATGAATCTTTAACGTGCGGAGAAAGCAGTCAAAGGTGAGGATCTAAGTGCAAGGAGTAGTTTATAGAGAGACAGATAAACATCCACAAAAACACAGGGAACAAGGAACTTCAAACACAAGCATGAACATCGACTGACCTACTCTAGTGTTTCACAAGTGAAACACCAGGACTATAATACACAGGGGCTAACAAGCTAACGAGAGGGTGTGGTCAGTTGTCTAGGGAACACACAAGGGTAACCATGGGAACTAACAAGGGAGCTACAAAGACAAGGCTAACACAAGGGGAACTAACAGACACAATATGAACAGGGAAAATGTTTCAACAAAAGTCCAAACACCAACACGGTGTTATAACAGATATATAACAGAATCAGTGTTTTGAATTAATTGATTTGTGATCGTTGAGTGAACGATGCAGCCCTAGTAGTATGAATGATTTGTTTTAGTGAGTAATTCAATAAGTAAATTTATTAGCACAAACCTTATTAAATCATGTTGCATGATTCATTTAAATACTCTTCTCCCATAAATTTTGCGAAACTCCAACAAATGCATGCAATAAGGTCAGACGTAAAAATGACTGTGTCCATTTGATTGCTAATTTTTCACTGTGTGTCTTTATTAGGGGAGAGCGGGGCACAAAGTAACACTTTTTGACTTTCTCAGTTTGTGTAAATCCACATGGGGTTCAGAGTATATTCTTTTTATCCACAGTAATTTCACACTTGTCTAGTACAAATATGTCGCTTTGTTTCATAATTACAGTGTATACGTTTTTCTTTATTTACCCTCAAAAATTGGAAGTGAAATGTGACAACATGCCCCATGGGGGGGTACATTGTAACAGCTGAGGGGCACGTTGTAACATGACCATATAACAGCTTACAATGTTATCTGATCGAATGAAAAAAATAAAATAACAGATTGGAGATTAAAATAATAGCAGCTTTGTCTCATTTTAAATGAGTAATAAAAACTGAGATGAAAATTTTACTTAAGCCAGAAATATAATAAAATAAATGTTCAGCGATATTTTCAAAAAACGTTTGAATTTTGGTGCACTTTTTTTCTCTATATAATGTTGATATGGTAACTAGTAAATGCTGAAAATTTGGTTATGCTAGCATGTGTGGAAATATTTAAACTACGTGTGTTACAACTTACCCCGCGTTACTTTGTGCCCCGCGCTCCCCTAAATCCGGACAGTATTTTTTTCAACTGCAAAAGAGGGTTTGCCCTGACGCAAGCTGTTAATAAATCTGGCTCTAAGAGTCTATCTGGAACATGTAAAACAGAAGTGGATTGATACAAACAATGAAAAGTCCCAGTGCTATTGGACTGTATCCTACCACTCTTAAAATGCCACTTAGCTAATCAAATTTGAGCACTGGAATTATTACTATTTTCACTGAAATCTGATTTTCTTCATGCACACAAACAAAAGTTTCCTATATTTCAGTCAAGAATTTGGGTGTCCCTATGTTGTGTCTTACTTTCTTGGCAGAATGAGATCATCCGTGTTCTCTGATCCCGCATGGCATTTTCTGTCACACAACAAACCTGAAGGAAAGCTCAAAGTTCTCAAAGGTTTCCTGATGTCTTAAAAGAATGTTCTTGTCTTTTGGAGTCCCAAATACATCACATTTTTTGGTCTGCTCCTGGGATTTAGCACAGCTAAGTTACAAGTTAAAAAGTTATAAGTATACCTCACAGTGATATCATCAGAGGCTGCCTTGGAGTTAAATTAATAGTTCACCCCAAAAAATTCTGTCATCATTTACTCACCATCAAGTTGTTCCAACCCTGTGTGAGTTTCTTTCTTCTGCTGAACACAAAAGAAGATATTTTGAAGAATGTGGGTGTCCAAAAAGTTTCTGGCCCCATGGTATTTTTTCCCCCCCATACTATGGAAATCAATCGGGACCAGGAACTGTTTGGTCACCCACATTCTTCAAACTCTTTTGTGTTCAGCAGAGGAACAGAACTCATACAAGGTTTGGAACAACTTGAGGTTGAGTAAATGATGACAGAATTTTCATTTTTGGGTGAACTATCTGCTATTTTAGGACTTGTTTTGCCTTTCATGAAGGTGTAGAGAGACCGAAGTTCAACCCTCAGAGCTAACCTCAGTCTGTTCTAAAAGAAATCTATTGATGTCCGCTTGTATTGGTGTTTCTATTTTGGTCCAATGACCAGCCAAGTACTCTAGTGAATCACGGGATCTAGATTTAGCCATTATCAGCGACCCTTTTAACTTTGAATCTTTGAATCACAGAACAATTCAGGATGTAATTTAAACCTGAAAATTTGTTGGTACATTTTTATTAAGATTTATAGTTCTTAGTTCTGTAGTTCCAGTCTATAGTTCCAGTCTCTAATAGTTATGGTTGAGCATCTTGGAGAAAAAAAGTATCTTCATTAGTGACTCACCATTATGTTGTTTCAAACTTGTGACTTTCTTTTTTTCCTAGAACACAAAGGGTGATTTTTTCTTTTTATCACTATGAGAAGTAGTGATGTCTGATCCGTGAACGAATCAGTCTTTTGAGTCAGTTCTTTTCAATAATTGGCCTATCAATTATGCTTTATGAACTGATCTGGCTCTCGAGTTCAGCTCACTGTCTCAATTATCTGGTCTCAGAGGTTAACAGATCACTAGATGGGAAAATGATCAGTGTTACTCACACAGTTTTTTTGTCATTCTGATTGGTCTCAATGGTGATTCTTATTAGCTTCTCGTGACTGTTATTCTATCGTTTTTAGTTTTTCAGAGGAAAGGAAAATTGTAATATAAGGTTTTGTTTTATTTAAAACAAAGTGCAAAAAGTATATATATATATATATATATATATATTTATTATGGAAGAATGTTATAAGGGTTCGAAATGACAGTGACATGAGGGTGAGTAAATGATGGCAGAATTTACATTTTTAGGTGAACTGTTTCTTTAAGAGGTGTAGAGCTGGCTTTCTTGTGTTTCCATGATGGCTGGAGACCTGGTCCCTTGCTACCATGACAGCTGTTCCCAGCTGAGAACACTGACCCGAAAGCAAATTCAACTCTCTCCACCTCAACAATGTTCTCAGAGGTCTATATCTTCAAGTGTAACTCCAGTAAACTAGTTTATCATCTAGTGATTGTATTACTTTCCTGAATAATGACTTCATGTTTATAATCCTCATTCTTCTGGAAATCCATAAACATTTTCGTCTTGTCTTATTTAGAAGATCTTTTTGCCAACCTGATTTGATATGTGTAAATGCACGTAAAATGTCCATAAATCTCCTTAAGCACATCCACCCATAACCTTAAAGAGGTCACTTTTCTTTTCTTTGATTGCTCTGCCAATGATTCATCCTTGTCGCCACGCCTTCGACTTCCCACGTAACGCTTCATCCTGACTGCGTAACATAGCATCACTGGCCAAGACTCCCCAAAGTCACAACCTCCATCCAGATACCTGGGACTGCAGTCTGCTGTCTGATTCCAGAAGGGAAACTGCAAATGTGGTCAAGCAAGAGAGAACGCTAGCATTTACAGTCATGGAGAGCAGAAGTCGTAGGAAGAGTGCTTTTGTTAGCGAGTTTCAGTGGATTCTGGAGTCGCTTTATGCAGGTTTGGGATTTTGAAAGGAAATTGCAGATCATGGCTGTTCGCCACAAACAGAGGTGATGCTTTGCATTTGCTTTTGCAGTTTTATTTTCTTGAAGAATGATTTTTACTGCAGTGTAACCAATGTACATTTTCATATGACAAGCGTTGTGATAGGGTTGAACAAACGGTGGGACGATGGGTAGAAGGGGAGGATGAACATTTTGGTTACCTGTCAGCCTATAGTGTTGGAGGCAACTTTTACAGAGAATTGTGTGCAATGAATTCACAATTTACAATGAGCTGTGTCTTTTTTTTTTTTTTTTTTTTTTATGGTTTTTTTTTTTATTTGGATGTGGATGTTAAGAAGAAAAATAACACTAATATAAAAAAAAAACATACTGAGTTTTCTTCATAATGGAGCATAGATATCTAATTATAATATATTATGATATTATATCCTAAATTTTAAATGGCTTAATGTCTTTACTGTGGTCATTAGAGCTGCTAACCACTTGCTATAAGGGAACTGTTATGCTAATGTGCTGTTCCTTTGAGAAATGCTACTGGAATGAAGCCCCATCTTTTTAAAGCAGACAGCAGCGCCTCATTGGCAATTCGTTAACAGTTTATTTTCATTCCAGTGAAGGGAGAAGACAAACAAAGTGGAGTTAGGTTCCAATTCAGATGAAGTATTTTATATGTACAGCTTGAAAGAAAATCTGAGATTGAATTTTGGATTTAATATGATGTTTGTACATATGCTAAATGCTGTCCATCACCCAGACATTTCATCTGCGTCACCAAGATGTGTTCATTTTGATCTGGAAAATAACATTTTTAGTTGATCATCTGCAATACTTCACAACTGTGCTAACAGGTTTTAGTTTTAGGTAACAGTAACAATGGTTATTTTTCTAACAATACATAACAAATGCTTCCCCTTTTTCTCTCTCTTTCTCCCATTTTTATTTTCTGTCTGTCAGGACACTGCACCAGCAGTTTGAGAGTTATAAGGACCCAGACATTTCATCTGCGTCACCAAGATGTGTTCATTTTGATCTGGAAAATAACATTTTTAGTTGATCATCTGCAATACTTCACAACTGTGCTAATAGGTTTTAGTTTTAGGTAACAGTAACAACACTGGTTGTTTTTCTAACAATACATAACAAATGCTTCCCCTTTTTCTCTCTCTTTCTCCCATTTTTATTTTCTGTCTGTCAGGACACTGCACCAGCAGTTTGAGAGTTATAAGGAGCAGGTGAGGAAGATTGGGGTAGAAACGAAACAACAGCAGGCTGTCCATAAAGATGATGCACCTACCTGTGGCATCTGCCGTAAGACCAAGTTTGCAGATGGCTGTGGGCATCTGTGTTCCTACTGCCAGACCAAGTTCTGCGCCCGCTGTGGGGGAAGAGTGTCACTGCGCTCGAATAACGTAAGAACCCGCTACGAGACTTTCATGGCTTTTTTTCCACTCATCATCCATGTTGTCTTTCTCACTATGGAGTCAGTTTCATTTCCATTGACTTTCATTTTAATATTTCATTCGTTTTATTATGCTTGCTTTAGTCTTTTTTTCTGTTTGTAACTACATATCAGTTGTTTGGTTGATTCCCTGATGGAGGGTTTGCTGAATCTGTATAAATCATGCGATTACAGAGTCCAAATCCAGAGTACGAACAGTTAAATCTCAGTTTCTCCTTTTCATACAAGTCTACAGATTTGGACTGCAAATCCAAACCACCCACAGCTCCTCTGAGCTTTATAAAGACTCTTCTTTGAGTGAAATCTTCATTGACTTTGCTAAGAGCCAGCAGGGCAATGTGTGGGACCGTTTCCAGCAGCACAACATGCAACGGTCTATTTTAGAATCTCATCCTTGCCTGCTGTCTCTAAAGACGGCCCCCCCTCCTCTAGAGTGACTTACCTGAGAATGGGCTCATCTCACTGGGCATGCTGAGGAACAATCTGCCTTAGTTCCGTCCTGCCCAGCTGGGTGAGGTCCCCTACTGTCACATATAGTCCATCTCAAAGTTTCAATAGTAACAGTGGGGCTCTAAAAGCGGTTTTCTGTATTTACTGTTAATATGACAAAGTATATTATGGCAGCTCAACCCTAATGCTGTTTAGATTAGGGATGCACGATATATTGGCATCATATTAATAATCAGCCAGTATTGGTGATTTTAAGCTGATATCGGATGCTTAATTGTTTCTGCCTATTTTAAGATTTAGATCATCATCTAGCACTGACTTTTATAGGGTTAGTTCACCAAAAAATGAATATTCTATCATCAATTACTTAGCCTCATGTAGTTACAAACCCATAAGATTTTCTAAACACAAATAAAATATATATTTTTAATGAAACCTGAATGATTCCTGTGCTTCCAGTTTGTTCTTTTGCTTTAGAGAAGTACTGTTGAGCTGCTGTTGACCATATGTGAACATTTTGGAACATCAATGGAGGGACATAAATCTCTGATTTTATTAAAAATATATTTTATTGTAAAATATAATTTGTCTTAATTATCATTATATAATTAACAAAACTCTTAAAGGGATAGTTCACCCAAAAATTTAAATTCTGTCATTAATTACTCACCCTCATGTCGTTCTAAACTCGTAAGACCTCCGTTCATCTTCGGAACACAAATTAAGATATTTTTGATGAATTCTGAGAGCTCTCTGACCCTCCCATCGACAGCATTGTAATAACCACGGTCAAGGTCCAGAGATGTAGCAAGGAGATCTGTAAAATAATCCATGTGACATCAGGGGTTCAAC